AGAGTCAACAGTAACAGAGTCGACGCTAACAGAGTCGACAGTAACAGAGTCGACAGTGACAGAGTCGACAGTGACAGAGTCGACAGTGACAGAGTCAACGGTAACAGAGTCCACAATAACGAAGTCGACGGTATCAGAGTCAACAGTAACAGAGTCAACGGTAACGAAGTAGACGGTTACGGAATCGACAGTAACCGAGTCGACGGCAACAGAGTCGATGATAACAGAGTCGACAGTAACAGAGTAATGGTAACAGAGTCAACGGTAAAGGAGTCGACAGTAACCGAGTCGACGGCAACAGAGTCGATGATAACAGAGTCGACAGTGACAGAGTCATGGTAACAGAGTCAATGGTAAAGGAGTCGACAGTAACGAAGTTGACAGTAACTGAGCCGATGGTATTAGAGTCGACGGTAACGAAGTAGACGGTAACGGAGTCGACGGTAACGGAGTCGACAGTATCTGAGTCGATGGTAACGGAGTCGACGGTAACGGAGTAGATGGTAATGGAGTCGATGGTAATGGAGTCGACGGTAACGAAGTAGACAGTAACTGAGTCGATGGTAACCGAGTCGACGGTAATGGAGTCGACGGGAACTAAGTAGACAATAATGGAGTTGACGGTAACCGAGTTGACGGTAACTGAGTCGATGGTAACAGAGTCGACAATAACGGAGTTGATGTAAACAGAGTCGAGAGTAACAAAGTCGACAGTAACGAAGTCGACAGTAACGGAGTCGACGGTAATAGAGTAACACACACTCCTGCTTGTGTTTCTCCTTGTGAGAGTAACAGCAGGAGGTTCTCAGATGACACGGTCACACTAGAGTTTGAGCATGCGAAATTCTGTGAAAAGGGGCGGGATTAAACACAATGATTAGACATTTAAAACACGAGCGATTGGTCCATATTTCATATGTCCAGAGAGGTCATGTGTTGATCTTCGATTGGTCTCATGCAGTAACGTGATGTGATTTCACAGGTCAGAGTTCACCAAGCGTGATCTTTGTAGCGCAGTGAACTGCTGAACTCAGGTGTGTATGAATGGAGGTCTGTAGGGGGAGAAGTGCAGCGTGACCACGGCTGGAGACGCAGATCTGGAGTTTACAGCACAGTAATAAAGCAGATCTGGAGTTTACAGCGCTGTTCTGGGCTAATAAAGCTGCGTCTGAAAGATGCTCCAGACTCCTGGAAGAGCCCCCGGGCCCCTGACGAGGGCCACAACTCTATAAATTGGTTCCAGAGGGAAAATCCTCCATTATAGAGATGACAAAGACGAGTCTATGGCACATTTATGAAGTCTCCATAGTCCTGCTGAACACACACACACACACACACACACACACACACACACACACACACACACACACACACACACATACACACAGGCGTGAGTTTATACTGGAATAATCCGTCTGTTAATCTCCGTCATGCTTGAGTTATTTTCATAACTGGATGAAGCACAGCAGAAGATACTTAGAGAAATGTCTCGAGAGGGGTAGAGTGCAGGGTGTTCACAGATTGTGCCTCATTGCATCTTTATATTTCTTTATTAGGGTGAGGTGGGCTGATGTGTGTTTTAAAGTATGTACATGTAGATATGCTGAACACTCCAGCACAGTACACACCGCTCCAAAGCAGAATGACCGACTTCAGCATCGATTCTCAGATAAACACACATGCTGTTACACCAGTAATGGCGACAGAACACTTCATCTGTCACGTGCACTGCTCAGTGTTTACTATAGTGTGTGGGATGCCAGATTGAGGCTACATTCAGTGTTGACTGTAGTGTGTGGGATGCCAGATTGAGGCTATATTCAGTGTTTACTGTAGTGTGTGGGATGCCAGATTGAGGCTATATTCAGTGTTGACTGTAGTGTGCGGGATGCCAGATTGAGGCTATATTCAGTGTTTACTGTAGTGTGTGGGATGCCAGATTGAGGCTATATTCAGTGTTTATTGTAGTGTGCGGGATGCCAGATTGAGGCTATATTCAGTGTTGACTGTAGTGTGTGGGATGCCAGATTGAGGCTATATTCAGTGTTTACTGTAGTGTGCGGGATGCCAGATTGAGGCTATATTCAGTGTTGACTGTAGTGTGCGGGATGCCAGATTGAGGCTATATTCAGTGTTTATTGTAGTGTGTGGGATGCCAGATTGAGGCTATATTCAGTGTTGACTGTAGTGTGCGGGATGCCAGATTGAGGCTATATTCAGTGTTTACTGTAGTGTGCGGGATGCCAGATTGAGACTATATTCAGTGTTGACTGTAGTGTGCGGGATGCCAGATTGAGGCCATATTCAGTGTTTACTGTAGTGTGCGGGATGCCAGATTGAGACTATATTCAGTGTTTATTGTAGTGTGCGGGATGCCAGATTGAGGCTATATTCAGTGTTTATTGTAGTGTGTGGGATGCCAGATTGAGGCTATATTCAGTGTTTATTGTAGTGTGCGGGATGCCAGATTGAGGCTATATTCAGTGTTTATTGTAGTGTGTGGGATGCCAGATTGAGACTATATTCAGTGTTTATTGTAGTGTGCAGGATGCCAGATTGAGGCTATATTCAGTGTTTATTGTAGTGTGCGGGATGCCAGATTGAGGCTATATTCAGTGTTTATTGTAGTGTGCAGGATGCCAGATTGAGGCTATATTCAGCGGTGTTGGTGAACACGTGCCGGAGCTCCAGCTGATGATAATCTGACTCCCTGAAGCCTCTGCAGGACGGAGAGATAAACACTAAACTAACCACTCCACTGATATCTGATGCAGCAACACACACACACACTGACAAACACACACTCACAGACAGACACACACGATTAGAGGAGAAACGAGATTAGAGGAGACGCATGAGCAGATCCAGGAGAAACACACACCGCAGATAATAGAGGAAACACACACACACACACACACACACACCACAAATAATAGAGGAGCAGGAGGAGTAAGAAATGACACACACACACACACACCCACACACACACACACACACACACACACACACACACAAACAAACACGCACACACACACACACTGAAAATTATGGAGGAGCGCAAGAGGAAGAGTTAGAGGATACACACACACACACACACACACACACTCTCTCTCTGTTCAATAAAACATCAGCCTCAGGTAATCAATAGTGCGCTTCAGATGCTGCCGCTACATGAAAGAGACGAGCTCGACCTCTCCTGCACCGCAGAGCTCACTTCCTGCTGCACTTCCTGCTGTCTGACTGCTGCATATCACACTACACACACACCCTGTCTCACACACTTAGTCTAAACCTGTCTCACACACACCCTTAGCCTCCACCAGTGTTTCTCAGCCACGTTCCTGGAGGAGCAGCAGCACTGCATGTTCTGGCGTCTCCTCTGTCCGTCAGTCTCTCTGTGTCTGCTGAGGATCTCAGTCGGGTGTGTGTGCTGATGGAGATCTGGACGCTGCTCCTCCAGGAACGTGGCTGATGATAACCAGCGCTTTACTCTCATCTGCAGAGCGAGGGTGCATCTCGTTATTGGAATTGAGGTCATTAATGTAGACATTAAACCACAGAGTGATGATATCACAGATCACTACCTCTTACTATATACGCTGTTTACCTGAAATCAGCAAACCCGCTCCAATACTCCGCCCTAGTAGAACTATCATCCCGTCAACCACAGATGAATTTATCAATAACTCACCTGATCTCTCTCTATTTCGTAATGCACCCGCAAACTCAAATGATCTTGATGTAGTAACCAGCAGTATGGATGCCATCTTTACTAGCATACTAAATACTGTGGCACCTATCAAATTAAAAAAGGCTAGAGAGATTAAAACTACACCATGGTATAATAGTCATACTCGTGCGCTCAAAACAGCAACCCGCGCCCTGGAACGCAAATGAAGAAAACTCATTTAGAGGTGTTTAGAATTGCGTACAAAGACAGTCTGTCCAGCTATAGGAGGCTCTAACATCTGCCAGGACCGAGCACCTGCGCAAACTGATAGAAAATAATCATAACAATCCTAGATTTTTATTTAACACCATCTCTAAATTAGCAAATAATCGTCATCCTTGGAACAAACTACTCCACCGCAAATTAGTAGTGATGACTTGATGAATTTTTTCAGTAATAAAATAACAGCAGGTAAAGTGTGTGTGATTGTGACTAACACACTCTCTCAGCAGGTAAAGTGTGTGTGATTGTGACTAACACACTCTCTCTGCAGGTAAAGTGTGTGTGATTGTGACTAACACACTCTCTCTGCAGGTAAAGTGTGTGTGATTGTGACTAACACACTCTCTCTGCAGGTAAAGTGTGTGTGATTGTGACTAACACACTCTCTCTGCAGGTAAAGTGTGTGTGATTGTGACTAACACACTCTCTCTGCAGGTAAAGTGTGTGTGATTGTGACTAACACACTCTCTCTGCAGGTAAAGTGTGTGTGATTGTGACTAACACACTCTCTCTGCAGGTAAAGTGTGTGTGATTGTGACTAACACACTCTCTCTGCAGGTAAAGTGTGTGTGATTGTGACTAACACACTCTCTCAGCAGGTAAAGTGTGTGTGATTGTGACTAACACACTCTCTCAGCAGGTAAAGTGTGTGTGATTGTGACTAACACACTCTCAGACTCAGTGAGCAGTGATGGAAACACACACAGACTCTCTAAAAGCGAGCGTGAGTGAATCACGAGACTCAGAGTCAATTACAGCCCAGAGCAAACAACACGAATCACTGACAGCGAGACCAGAGTGTGTGTGTGTGTGTGTGTGTGTGTGTGTGTGTGTGTGTGTGACAGACAGACCTGCTGTTATTGATGGCTCAGATAAGATCGTTGTCTCCAGGGAGCAATAAGCAATAAAGTTATTTCTAATTGAAATTTCACAGAGAAACACGACACTCCCTGAGGCTGCTTCAGCGCGCACACACACACACACACACACATACACACACACACACATACATACATACACACACACACAAATACATACACACACACACACACACACACACACGCGCGCGCGCGCGCGCGCGCACGAGCCGGGCCTGATCGATCTCACATCACATGGGGATGCACAAACACGTCTCTGTGTCGGTGCGGTCTTGCGCATACAAAGCAGTGAGAGCTGTGCATTACTGAGTCCACACACATACACACACACACACACACACACACACAGAGTCAGTGTCACACACACTCCGCACAGCTGAACCAGACAATACTGATGCTCACAGGTCAGGGTTCAGCGCCTGCAGGGGTCAGAGGTCAGCTGCTTGCTCTAGCCTAGAGGTGCTTACCTGGAGACGCTGATCAATCCTGTGATCAATACAGCCTGAAAATCACACACTGAGCTGCCACACGCGCACACACACACGCGCACACACACGCACGCGCACACACACACACACACACACACACACACACATACACACACACACACATACACACACAG